TATTTATGTTTGTAAAACACTGTGCAGCACAGTATTTTATTTTATTTATTTTAACTCTGCCACTTTTATTTTTAATACGCTTTTTTAAGGTCCACATCTGTGTGACTACTTTTGCTGTTTTAACTCCACGATACCCAATAAAGGGAATTTCTATTCTATTCTATTTCAGCTCTTTTTGCAGAGTAGTTTGCAATGATTGCAGATGCAATCATTTGCAATGTTTGGTTATTTGGGTGTTTCATAGCCTGGGCTCGGGGCCCCGGGGCCCCTTGTCTCCAGTGCTGTCATTAAGCTCTGGTCGAGTTAAACACATCTTTAAAAAAACCTGAAATCACCACAAACTGAATTCAACATTTATCAGCAGCCTTTCATTCTGTGTGGAAACGAGCAGCAGAACTAAATTCAACGTATGAAATCATGAAGCCTTTTAATCCACAGCAGCTCAGAGGAACAGAAACCAGTAAGAGTGAAGAGCTGATGGTCTGGATCTCGGTGCAGCTGAGGGGACAGCATCTGGATCAGGAGTCTGAGACCAGCTCAGGGAGCCTCTGGTCAGACATGCTGGGGTCAGAGGCAGGCCGCCTGTGATGATAGGTGAGCTGAAGCTCCGGAGGACCGACGGTCCCACTAACCTTGTTGAAGTGATCTCCTATAACCTGCCAAATCCGAGACCACTGCAGCCTGATGCGGTTCATGTTGTAGTAGGAGATCTCCACAATCTTCTGCAGGCTGAACATCCGGGGCTGATGGGCGGACGCCAGCTCGTCCATGGACACGGCACACAGCCAGCGGACAAAGTCCACTGCACAGGCAACACATAGCGTTTGGAGTCATTACTAACGTTCAGACGTGAGCCCCCCCCCAGGAGAAAGTCCACTCACCGATGGCATTTCCATCCAGACGGGTGGAGCCGGTGAAAATCCTGCAGGCAGAGAAGCAGCTTTAGAAGAGAGCCAAAGGACAGCAGAAGGCTAGAGTTCAGAGGTCGCCCCACCTGTCCACGGCCACCACCACGCTCTGGGAGCTGGTCTCTCCTACGGACTCCTGGATGTGGGCCATCTGTCTCTTATCCTGACTCCCCACCAGGTTTCCTGCATCAGAAACAGAATAAAAGCTGCTTCTAGCTGTAAAGCAGTGAAGCCGTATTTGCTGGGAGACCCACCCAAGCCCAGGGGCATGAACTCCTCGGTTCCTGCAGGCAGGCCCCTGATGCTCCCCTCTCGCTCTCGAACCACGCCCGAGATGTAGCGCGTCTTCACCCCCGTGCCGATCAGCTGAGCCAGCTCCAGCTGACTGATGCACCTCAGGATCTACAGCAGACACAGCTCTGAGCGGGACAGAACCTTCAAGCAGAACCAAGCTGGGCGGACGACGTACCTCGTGCCAGGAGTTGCCCAGGTAGTTCCCATCGGTGTGAGCCACGGTGATCAGCGTCTTTATGGTGTCGATGTTCTTCTGCTTCATCTCGGTGATGCTGGAACTGGCCGTCAGCAGCGTGAATCTGGCCAGGGCCTGAACGTACGCATCTCTTTCCAGCTAAGGGCGACAACATCAGGTCACTTCCTGCTTCTAATTCACTGCTGCGGCATTAGAGAGAGAGCGCACCTGCATGCTGAAGATGGAGGCGATCCTGATGGCACATCGGATGCCCTCCAGGCACAAGGACGCCACCTCTGGGTCGTCGCAGTCCTGCAGGCCCACGCTAAAGGCTGCCAGCAGCGGGGTCCATGCCAGCTGTGGGACACAGAGGACAGCAGATGATCGTTTCCTCGTCCCCCATCATCAGCATCATCGTCAGCCGCCCACGCAGGGCCGGGAAGCCGTTACCTTAAACATGGGCCTGACGTGCTCCAGGTGTTTGGCGCTGAAGAAGGGAGCCTGTGCGTGGCTGACGGCCTCCATCAGAGCCTTGGCGGTCTTGGCCATTTGCTCCATCTCCATGTTGTAGAGCAGGCGGCGCTGCTTCTCGCTGGCCACGCCTGGAGGAAGAGCAACAACAGTTTCTGGTGTTTCTGAGGCTGAGAGAGAACCATCGAACCCGGTCGGCCCAGAACTCACTCTGCTTGGTGGACTTTGGAGCGACGGAAAACTCTCTGCTCTCCTTCATGGCGATCTTCTTGCCGGCGATCTCGTCGTAGATGGAGGACAGGTACTCCTCTGGGAGGTCCTTGCTGTCGTTGATGCCTCGGTTCATCTTGATGTACTGATCCTTGGTCATTTTGTTCTTCACCTGGAGAGAACCACAGCGCTGAACGCCACGCCTGGAGACCGGGTCGGTACCATCGTTAGGTGCCGGGTTCAACCGCAGTAATGACCGGGTCGGTACCATCGTTAGGTATCAGGTTCAACCGCAGTAATGACCGGGTCAGTACCATCGTTAGGTATCATGTTCAACCGCAGTAATGACCGGGTCGGTACCATCGTTAGGTACCAGGTTCAACCGCAGTGATGACCGGGTCGGTACCATCGTTAGGTACTGGGTTCAACCGCAGTAATGACCGGGTCGGTACCATCGTTAGGTACCGGGTTCAACCGCAGTAATGACCGGGTCGGTACCATCGTTAGGTACCGGGCCTGAAAACACGAGGATCTGGTTCTTCAGGAAGGAATCTTCTAAGGAGGCTAATTAGTGGGCGAACTGCTGGAGGAAACATCAGAACCACAGCTATACTGGCACAAAATAACACAACGGATTCATCCCCATTAAGACCCTCCTGGAGTTCAGGAAGAGGAGCAGGTCCTACCTGAGGGCTGTGCAGGTCAGTGGTCAGCATGATGATGGAATATGCCAGAACATAAGCAGTGTCTGCGCTGGCAAACAGGGTTTGCCTGGAAAGAACAAACATGGTTCATGGTTGGAGCATCAAGTCCCACCGTCCTCTCCCCCCAGACTTCACCGGTTCTCCTACCCTTGGTTACATTCCAGGTAGCGTGCAGCAAACTTCTCCATGAGCCTGTCGATCTTCTGGGCCTCCCCCGGCAGCCTGAAGCCTTCCAGGAAAATCCTCAGAGCGGAAACAAAGTCCCGCCCACAGAAGTCCAGCTGGTCCACATAGCAGTACATCACCTCTTTGTTGAACTTGGTGTTCTCCCCCAGGAACTCGCCCACCTGCGTCTGTCAGGAGCACAGCGAGCCGTCAGCAGACCGACAGACATCCATCAGGGCACGGTTCAGGTTGACGGAGCACTCACTGTGTCCAGTCGGTCCTCCTGGTGCAGGAACTGGGCGATGTCCTCCGCCGAGGATCCCAGCATGCCCTGGTCCTGCAGGTACTGGATCCCACGCTTGGGCTTCTTGTTGAACCTGCAGAGAAAATGATTGGATCCTCCTGATGCATCACGTCTACAAAACTGTTCTGCATTTTTCTGAGTTTCAACCACAAACAACAATGTGAAGAGCAGCAGGGAGACGTTGATCAATTAGTCAGAACTAGTTGATACACTCAGCTGTAAAGGTTAACTTGAGGGTTTAACTTCTGTTCCATTACTGTTGCAAAGATCACATTTTGTAAATGGAACACTGGTTCCAGTAATGATTCTGCTGAGCAGTGTGATGAACCTCAGCGTCTGTCGTTGTTTCCTGCGTCTGGAAGCCCTGATTAGACGATTGTTTGTCGTACCCTTTTTTTCCAAAAGTCAAGTAAATTCACCAAAGGCTGCTTCCTTCTTCTGACTCTCTGCAAACTTCCTGAATGTATTGGGCGCCACCATGTAGATCGCCACTAGGAGGCGAGGAACCGTGCTAGCATGGCGTGTAAACAGTCGTAAGGAACTGAGCTTGGGACGGATGGGTTTTTCAGAGGGTAGTGGAAATGGGGCAATGGCAGATAAACTCAGAGAAGCTCTGCTTTGAAAAATCAAATGTTTGATGAAACGAATTAAACTATGGAATGATACAGGAACTGGTTGAACTGGTCAGAGTGTTGCTCAGTAGCAGAGGGAGTGTGCTCACAGTTCGATGCCGTGCTCGATGATGTCCTTCTGCTGCTTGATCACCTCATACTGCTCTGGGTGGTCGGCCTGAGACGCCGCCATGCTGGAGTAGTTGGAGTCCAGCGAGCTGATGCTGTCTCGCCGTCCCGTCGTCTGCTCTGGGAGCTTCAGCTCTCCTCCCTCAGAGTCTGGTTGATGCTCCTGACCTGAAGACAAACACCCGACATAACTGGCGCGTTCTACGCCCCCAGTATGCTGTCCTGGGATTTAAGGAGGACTCACCCAGGTTGGCCTGAAGGTTCGGATTCACGTACATGTCTTTGCTCCACTCCACCATACATTTGAGAATGGACACCAGACACTCCAGCCCCTTCTTACGTAGGCTCAGCTCCTGCAGGAAAACCAGAGATCCGGGTCACTCCCGCCTCTGGATGAGGACAAGCGGTCCCAGGGAAAGAGGACGCGTACCTGCAGAGGAGTCATCCCAAGCTCCTGGCCGCTGCGGCCCTGAGCGATCTTAGACAGGTCGTTGACCAGACGCTCAAAGATGTTGGCGGCGTTCAGGTCGCAGTCATAGTTCACATATATGTCCACCACACACTGGGCATCTGAGGAGCAACGCAGAGGAGGACATGGTGACCCAATGGAACCAGGGCAGCAAACC